GTTAATCTAACTTTAACTGTAAAAATAAATAGTATGTAATTCAATCGGACCCTAGAAGTGGGTAGAGCTGAAATATCCCAGCATCAGTGAACGCTCCCAAGGACATCGGCGGGTTGTCTCCCGCTCTACCCACGTGACAGCCTTCCTTTCCTCTTATTGGCTGTTTTGAAAATACATTCCGTATGCTCATTGGACTGTTTTAACCTGCTGCTGCACTCCAGTCATTTCAAAAGAGTCCGGGAGCGTTCCAGCGGCAGTTTGTTCGTGTCTGTAAAAAACGAGGCACAAACAGGTAATTTTTTATATTTGTCAGTATGAGTGAAATTTAAATTTTACATTTAAAAGACTCCTTAGCTAATGCGGAACATGAACGCCCGACACAACGTGTCTTAGCAGTTAGCATGACATTCAAAAAAGGTGACTTTGATGGCTAAACACTTTGTTAAGCTAACGTTAGTGGTCCTCTCTTGGTCGTTAATCAGAAAAGCTAATTTCACGACTGCTTAATATCTAACTAGTCTTAGTTACTAACACGAGTGAAAGAGCGACGGGAAAACGAGCTGCTTAATGCAACAAAACTAACGTTTCAAAACGTCCCCGGTCGTATTTTGAGGTAGCCTGCTGATCTGGCGATAGGCCCGTGTGCATTACTGTAAATGGTTAAATCAACGTGACATGAGTTTCCAGTCTGAATGATTTCCGTACAAGGTCGTGCTCGATACGAACAGGCTTGTTGTTTAGTTCATTTTTAAATAAAAGGCTGATCTAGCCTAATATCGACACTCAACAATTATTAGATATGTGTGTAAGCTGATAGAAGGGAATGCAGGTCCTCGGAAGTTGTTTACGTTACTGCGTTTTTCTTTCTCCTTTCAGGCAATAATGGAAGACTACCTGAAAATAGAGAAAATCGGAGAAGGTTGGTTTTAACGTATCTAAATTATTCACATGAAGCTCTACAAATGTTGATACTTCAAAAATGTGTAATTATGTGTGTAGTCAAGTTTTCTTATCTCTGTTTGCTCAACAATCTCATGGTTATAAAGTTGTTCTGGTGTAACTTTTCTTTTGACAAGAAGTATTTTGGTAATAAGTAATGATGTCCAGCAATTTGGAAGCATAAACAGGAGCTGCCAGTACATTCATCCAGTGCTCGTGCTTTCCCCCAGGTACATATGGGGTTGTGTATAAAGGTAAGCACAAGGCAACGGGGCAAATTGTGGCCATGAAGAAGATCCGACTGGAGAGTGAGGAGGAGGGCGTCCCCAGCACAGCTGTCAGAGAGGTTTCTCTGCTCCAGGAGCTGAAACATCCCAACGTTGTACGGTAAGCTCTCAAATTCTCTTTGATCTTAAAATCCTTTTGGTTTTTATAACACGAGGTTTGAATTTTTATATGTCCAATACTTCTCTATACTGTCTAGTGCCCTTTGTGCAGCATGGAGAGACATGGTGTTGGTCAAACAATAGAAACTATTGTGAAGTTTTGAAGATATGCATCAAGTTCATTATATAAATGCATGTGTAGCGATAGTTGACACTATTGTGCAGAGTGCTGCTCAGTCACATCTAATGAGAAATGTAAACATAAAGTATGAACTCGTGTATTTGTGCGTAATCCAGACTCCTCGATGTCCTAATGCAAGAATCTCGTCTCTACCTCATCTTCGAGTTCCTGTCCATGGACCTGAAGAAATACTTGGACTCCATCCCCTCTGGCCAGTACATGGACGCTATGTTGGTCAAGGTAAGTATTACATTAATTCAGGGGTGCACTAGTTGCTTGAACTTGAAGCTTTTAAATCTGAGATGGGTTACGTTAGCAGATAATATATTACATGATTCATAAGCCAAACTCTTAAAGTTGCAGTGTGCAAAATGAGTCGATTGCAGTCTCAACCCTCCGTCTGTGCAGCACATACGGCAGCCGTTGTGTTGATGAGTCAGTGAAACTCGCTTCTGTCCAATGACAGCAACACTGATGTGACTTGTTAAGTATATCCTGAACTTTTCCTTCAGTGTTCGAGGTCAAAGGGCGAGGAGGAAGAGCACGACATCTTATTCAGATGTGGCTCTTTTTCTTTAGCGTTTTTGTTCTTCTCAGGTAATGAAACATGGATATGAAACTTCATACGCTATATTGCCTGAAGTATTTACTCATCTGCCTTCACACTCACAAAAATTAGAGACATCCCATTCTTAACCTTAACATTTCCCAAGGTTTAGGAATGTGTTTGATCTCCCAGAAGCGCATTTATGAGCTCCAACACTGATGATGGATGAAAAGTCCTGGTTTGCAGTCCTGGGTCTTGTCAGTACTCGGGTCTCCTCGTGGACATGTTGAAACAGGAGAGGGCCACACCCAAAGTGTTCCCACAAAGTTGGGAGTATGACGTTTGTCCAAAATGTCCTGATGTGCTGAGAGAGTTCCTTTCAGTGGAGCTAAGAGGCCGAGCCCAACTCCTGAAAGCAATCCCACCACAAACCCCCATTTAAAAAACCCAAAACTTTCCACTTGGCAACCACCAAACCCACGATGCAGGGCCAGCATCCTTCGAAGGACCCGGCCTGCGCAGACTGGTCCTTACTAAATCTTTATTTTATGTCATTTGTTTGACTTTTATTGGAGAAAATTGGGACGTTTGATCAGTGTGTGATGTGGCTGTAGCTCAGGAGGTACAGCAGCGCATCTTCTGATCCAACAGGATCTCTGCTTTGTTCTGCTGTGACATCGTGTAACAGATGTGCCTGCTCCCTGTCATCTCTCATCACAAAGAATAAAGCTTGGTAACTATTCCCACTAGTGAAGAATGTCTCGTTTCCACAGCACTGAATGACTGTGGACGTCCCGATTGATGCACGTAAACCTGTCGTTCACTGAACTCAGCACGGCTTCATTTCTATTGGTCGTTTTTATTTTCCTGTTACTGTCTGAAGATGTGACGCAGTCCACACCGTTTTGCACTCTGGAATCTGAGGCGAGCTTTGAACAAAGCTCCAATAATATTAAAGACCATTAAATTATTGTTGAGTTAACTTATAAAACAAACATGAGGCCGACACTTTTGTGTAAGATGATTCTGTTCACACAAGACCTGGTGGGATAAACATGGTGGTGCTGTTGCTGATAGTAAACAGCTGTGAAACAGCTTATTAACCTTTAACTCCAGGTATGTAGTTGAATTTTACAATATTGTAAAAAGAAGCAGGTAAAATACTTTTAACTCAAACATCACGTTGTGTACAAAACAAAGAAAAACACTGTGACACTCTGAATACTGAAGCACGTCTGGTTTGGAAATGACACATTTTTCTGTCACGTTTCACGTTTTGTGTCATTTGGCTGCTGCTCATTAAAGATCTGCTCGTTCTCCAACACCTTTAGAGCTACCTGTACCAGATACTGGAGGGCATCTACTTCTGTCACTGTCGCCGAGTGCTCCATCGTGACCTGAAACCACAGAATCTGCTGATCGACAACAAGGGCGTTATCAAACTGGCAGACTTTGGTTTGGCTCGAGCCTTTGGTGTTCCTGTCAGGGTCTACACCCACGAGGTAAGGATCCTTATCACAGCTCCTGGGATGTGTCGGCCGCTGCATCTCAAAACATTTCTTTTACTTTTTCTTGTCATTTTAAAAACCAAGAAAAATCCTTTTTAGTTTGAGGAATACAGATTTAGACCGACTCTGTGCAGGTGACCCTCTGGGTCAGAAGAAACAGTAAAAACATAATTTATTTTTATATTTGTCATTTTATTTTCTTTTATATTTCACTGCATCATTGTTGTGCATTTTATTATTGTTCGTGATGTTTTACATTGTTAAGCAGGTTGCAGCAGACTGTTGGAAACGTGCTGCATGAATGAACCGGGTCAGGCAGCGTTTGATTGTGAGAGGAGAGTTTTAGGAGCGACACACAAATAAACTGCTGTAGTGGTTCAGAAACAGGCTGCAAGCGTTTCATACAACTGTTACAAAATTTTTGCACAAGTTTTGAAATGTTATAAAGTTACAAAAACAATTCATTAAACATGTTTATGGTTATTAATAAACTGTCAGAATGAGAGTGTGAGTGTAAATCCAGACATGTGAGAATGACATCAAACAAGGCGACGTGACTAGTTTGTAGGAGTGCAACGATACACAAAATTCACGGTTCAATATTTTTTCGATACAAAAAAATGTTCATGCTTTTTTTAATTTGTCATTTATTAAAATTATAAATATATATTTTAACTCAAAAGTACAGTTTTTAAATTTAATGTTGCTGAAACAAAAAAGTAATAAAAAATAAATCTATCTGAT